GAGTGGAGCCACTCATCGTTTTATAGGTAGGAGGGGGCAAATCTTGGCTTGAGTTTAGATCAACCAGGCTTTGGTCCCCGTAGCTTGTGAATTGGTACCAGGCTCGTCTAAAATCAATAGGCTGCGCAAACTTGACTAATTATCTGTAACCCGCAAGACTTTGTAGATTACCTTGCATTTAATACACAAGATGCTGAAGGAAACGTGCCGATAAAGGTACGTCAACGTCGAAGGCACTTGTTTTCTCAAACTTTCTTCAGTTGACCACTTTTATTTTCAAATCGAGAGCAGCCGCTACGAGATCGGCGGCGATCGCGCGGCGAAAAGGCTGAGTCAGTGAACGGGTGCACCAAATGCGGTCGTGTCTGTGCGGTGTAGGAAGTATATGAGTACATATTTTACTTGACGCAAAATTGCTACAGTGCGCGCTGCAACTCGTCCGCTGACTCAGTCTTCTTGCCGCGCGACGGGCCTCCCGTTCACCGCGTGAGCTTTGCGCTTTACGTTTGCTGTATGACACGTAATGTAACATCTCGTAGAGTGGATGCATACGCAAAAAGTGTTATTGTATAAGAGCCTGGCGCGCCAGTGAAGAAGGATTTAGATTCAAGGCGGGAGAAATAGCGAAGAGGGATGAATCAAATGACAATGGCGCAGATTATTTAGTTAGCGAAACTGGTTTTACCGCGTCGCAGTTGTAAGCGTGCATAAAAAGTGTGCTGTGGGTCAATAAGGGAATACTTTTACTTTTGATCTCTCTTCAATATCAGTTTATTTATCTTGCTTCGTCGTAGTTGTTTCTCCGCTAAGTGGGGTTAAGTATATGCGCCATATTTTTGTTAAGGAAGTTTTGCTTGGTAGCGGTAAAGGTATGCTGAAGAAGGTGAGAATTCGACATCCGCGAGGAAGGTTTATATATTTAGGAGGTTCTCCCCCGCAACCTCAATGTTGGAAAAACACTGACTACCTTAGGGTTGTTAAGGGTTGGTTTCTTCTCTCTCATCACCTCGTGGCTAGCTGTGTCTTCACAATCATGGAATTACGTTAGAGTAAGACCTAAACACTGATACTAGCCTTAGGTTTGTTGGCGGATGGCTAACTCTCCCACAGGCTTGTTGGTGGATGGCTATTCTCTCCCTCAGGTTTGTTGGCGGATGGCTATTCTCTCCTTCCCCCTTTCCCCTTCCCTTCCCTCCAGCTGCCTGCGCATCCGAGAGTACGCTAACCTTAGTGTGCATATTTTTACAGTGGTCTGAAATAAATCACTATCATACATCATCACCGTGTGACACCAACACCGCAAGACATGTGGACTTCTCGATTTTGTTAGTGTTGGGTTTTAAGTGAAAGTCCACTTTGGGGCCTGGGCTGAAGCAAAGCTCTCTTCCCCAGTTCCACTGATTCAGGACCGTTTCCTCAGACCATTGCAGGCTGAATTGTGGAGGCATCTTAGTAGTACTCCTGAAGTACACCGATACTTCTCAGAAGTACACTTCAAATGATCGATTACGTGCCACGAGCGCTCTCATTCTTTTTTAATTATTGAACACGATGGAGTGTTCCGACCCCCCCCCCTCCCTAGCAGGATTTTCACCGGTGTTTCCTATCACTTGCCTTATCACACCCCCAGGCATTTTGTGGACAAAGAGATAGACTACACAAATACCCATATACTCACCAATATACACACCAGTAGACCGGCACACAAAGACAGTGTTCAGAAAAGATTTTTGCAAAGGGTAAGCCAGAAGAGACGCTTATGGTGTGGCAGAGCTGTGCTGCAGCTCCATGAGACTAGTATCTCCTTGTCTACCTCTGCGTGGCCTCCTTACATCTATAGCTCGTTCTCACATCATGCGCGAGTACTAGCAACAAGCCATTCACTTCAGTCTGGCGATCGCTATCCAGGTTTGATTCAGAAGCCGACGAACGCGATCTGAACATCATTCACCTCAGCCGCTTTGCAGCGCCCTTATGTGGCGACGAGAGTTCTCCATCCCGCAGCAGGTCTCTGGAACGCGAAAATCCCACGGAACCAGCTCCACTATCCTTCTTGTCCACTGTCATTACTTCCTTCCATAGCGGCCTATATGGCGCTTGTCATGTACTTCACAGAGAGGCGGGACATTCCGCGTAAGTCAGAGCTATGCAGTCCTGCTCGATATCGAGTGAACTGAGTGAACTTCGTAGATAAAAATATTAGGCCAGTGTGAGGCAACATGCACGCTCATGAATTCACTGTATGTGATAGTATGAACAAAGGCCTCATACCGCAGTACAATTTCTTGGCGCATACAACGCGACAACTGCACTTCGCAGAGACCTAACGACACACGTCCTACGCAATAATTAATAGTGTATAGCTCGTGGGCGGAAGTGGTGTAGTGGCAAGTGGCACGCTTACCACGCGAGCGGTCCGGGGATCAAATCCTGGGTCGTGAGTCGCCCGGGCCAACCAAGCCTTCCATCCCTCCGGGGTCGGTTAATTGGTACCAGAGAAAATAACATATACTTCAACAGGACTTGATCGGCTGGATGGTC